GATCTTTTTCTTTCATTCTCCTATTGGGTAGGAATTATTATTTCCATTGTCTAGAAGAGGAAACAAAGGTTCAGAGAGGTGAACTAACTTGCTCCAAGCTGCACAGCACCTGTGTCTAACATCTAGTAGGCAACTGATATGTTGATTGATCAGCTAGTAAGTGGCAAAGCCATTTAGGCTGCAGGTTTTGGGCTTTGAGAAGATGCTCTGATGAGGGCCTAGAGCTGTGCTGGGTGCCATGGTGAACACAGAGATAACTAGCAATCTCAATACTCCAGGAATCTGCAATTGTGTTTCCTCTCTCTCCTCCCCTCCAACCCTCAGAAAGAATTCCAACTCTGGAAAGAGAGAGAAATGGTCATTGCATTTTACTTGGCTACAAAGCACTAAATGGTAAATTGCCTTTACATCTTAAATTGCTGGCACCATCAGATTCACTATGAAGACAAGTGTGTCTTTTTGGGGTAATAGCCATTTTAATGCTATCAATCTAGAAAAAGGAAACACGGCTCAGAGAGCAGGCTGATGGCAAGTTTGGTAGCAGTCTTGAGGCTGATGTGGTCTAGAGAAAGCCGCCAAGTCTTTCTGGGCCTGTTTTCTCTGTAAGAAATTATATTCCATCTGTGTCTTGGTAACCACAGCAGGGGAGAGTTAAGAAAACCTAATAACGAGTCTCATGGCAAACTGAAAGTTCTGTGCAAAAACAAAATAATGAGAAGGCTGCATAAGAAATTCCCTTTGTGTTAGCAGTAAGCCCCATCGATTTCTTCAGTCCTCAAAGCTCTTTCAAATCTCGCTTCTCATGTGATCGTTGCAATAAACCTGGCGCTTGGTGAGATGGTGGAAACAGACGCTCAGGGAAGTAGAGCGATTTGCCCAAGGTCACACAGGCTAAAGAGGAGCAGAGCCAAGTCTCCATGCCACATCTAGCTGGGTCCCAGTCGCGTCAGTGCATTGTTGTGCTGAGAAGAAAGGGATAGTTTAGGGGCCCCTCCAAACAAAGTAAACGTTTGTCGAATGAATGCAAATGACTGAGTAAGATGGTGGGTGAATGAACTCCCATAACCCTTTCCCGGAACAATTTTGCTGAGTGTGTCAAATGCCTTAAAAATGGAAATTCCCTCTGGCCCCATTCATTTCCCTCCTTAAGAATTTATCCCAAGGAAATAATCAGATAAGATGTGAAAATATGATATCCAGATATTTATCTCAATATTATCAATAGGAGTCAAAAATTGTATATAATCTAAATATCCCACAGTAGGACACAGTGTTAAATAAATGAATAGATAAATAAATAAATTACGGCACACCTGTATTCCAGGCTTGAAAACTGTGTGTTTGATGAATCAAAGTAAGAATGTGCACAGTGGCTTAGCTACAGCCAGTGTTTATTGCAGGCTTTTTATGAAAGCAAAAAGAATGTCCAGCAACAAGAGTTTAGGTTTGTTAATGCACTGGAATAATCTATTGTTTTTTCAAGTAACAATGCATATGGATATTTATGGACACACAGATAGGTTCACAATATAGAAGTTAAATGGATGGTGCATGGAAAAGAATATAGGTAACATAATTGCTCTCTTTTATTCTAGTATCTGTAAGGCTATACGTGAAAATGTTAACAGGGGTTATCTTTGGATGATAGGGATATAGTTTTAAACAGTAGTAATTAGAATAATTCTTATAGGTGCTTACGATATGACAATAATTCTTATCATTGTGCTCCTACTATGAGCTGTGTGTGTGTGGCTCACAGATCTGACCCATGCCGAACACAGCACAGCCCCAAAAGGGAGGTATAACTGCATGAAGAGGATGAGGTGCCCAAGTATGGGGCTGACCTGGGAAGGGAGACAGAGAACGGACAGGGAGGTGCCTAATTTTGACAAGCACCCCCTCTGTGCCAGGCACTCGGTACCCGTTATCACACTGAATCTTGCACTGATTATTCAGACTCAATTTTACTTCCAACTCACATATGTGGAAATGGAAGCTCAGAGAGGTTGAATAACTTGCTCAAGATCACCCAGCTTGCAAGTGGAGCCTGTCTGGCTCCAAAATGCACATACCCTCCACCTTGCTCTATTGCTCAGAATATCTACTTAGCAACAAGGCCATGGCCAAACCCACTGACAAGCGGAGGTCGTGGGAGTTTGGAAGGGCCTGTTTTTCACTGAGTCCAGCCTCACCTTGCACTGAAGCTGGGGAAGGAAGAGGCTGGCTGGGTCCTTAGTATCGTCATCCCAAGCCCAGCTTCCGTCCTCCGGGATAGTGGTGAATTTGCAGCTCCCTAACACTGTCTCTGACTTTGCAAATAGAGACACGGCAGTAAAACCAAGTTTGCATAGCTGTAAAACCAGAGCCTACACCTCCGTCTTGCTGGGTAATCTTAGGCAAATTGCTTTACTTCTTGAAACCTCAGTTTCCTTACCTGTAAAGTGGAGTTAATAATGCCCATCTTTATAGGGTTTTCGCGAGATTAGAAGTAATATTTGCAAAACACCTGGCACAGAGTAGGCACTCATAATTCATAGAAGTTTTTTTACTCATTCTAGAAATAAAGGATGATAACACTCAGAATATACACCCTTTGTGAAGCTAATGCCACGGGCTCAGCAGATATGCATGCATTTTGGAGCCCCAAGGAAAAGCACTTGGAGTCTTCTTTGCCAAATTAAAGTCAGTTCCACCTTAAAATTCCCCTCTGCAAACACTGGGAAAGATGGTATTTAATTGATCATAACATCCTCAGACTCTCAGGCAGGCTCTTTCCTCCTCCTGCTCATCACTGCTGATTACTTAAGATATTTTTACGTAAACAGTAAATGGCTCCTGCAAAATTAGACCCATCCACCCTCCTGCTCTCCACTCTTCCTTTGCTTCTAGACTTATGGAGCTGCCCAGCCACCTCTGAGGCTAATCAGTTGAAGGTCTGTGTGCCTGCTGAGCTCCCAGGATCCAAAGAGGGCTGGGCTGGGGCAGCTGACACTGGAGAGGCTGCCATCAGGGGCCGTGGAGACTGCTGATAAAGAGGTAAAACTCTGCATCTTCTGTTTTTCCCTCTTGGTTCCTTCCAGTGTAGCCACCACCTCGTTACTCCTGGAGACCACATGGTACCTGTTGCGCCCATCAGGAGAGACTCTCTTTTAAACATAGCAGTCCTGTGTCCCATCGCTGATTTTCTGTTAGTTAACTCCAGAGGAGAAAAGGTTAATCCTGAAATAAGTAAGTCTTGGTGTGTGGATTACATCTAGGTAAAGTGTTCCTTCCATAGCACCTTCCTGGGCATACCCAGCACTGGAATTCCTGGTTTCCATCTTGGTTTCCCTGTTCCCCCTCCACCCTGAAAGATGGCACCAGAGACCTCAGTGATATCACTGAGGGCAGGGAGCGTATCTTATGTCTTCTCCATCTCTGTCTCCAATGCTCGGTACAGTTCTGGGAATCAATAGGTGCTCTGTTTCGGGGACTTCAAGTAGTTCAGTCAAGAAGTTCTGGGAGTGGTGAGAAATAGGTCCACAGGGATAAATGAGATTGGATTGTTGGAAGATTTGGGCTTCGTCTTAAAGGCCCTGAGGAGTGTTAAGGGGGAGGGATGAAGTAACCAGATTTGTGTTTTAGGAAGATGGCTCTGGCTGCCAGGTGGGGAGTGGATGAATAGGGACAGGAAGACTATTCGGAGGCTGTTACAATAATTCCTGAGACTGTGGCCTGGACTAGGGTGGGAGGAGCTTTCCTTAGCCTCCTCCAGACTTTTGGAGCCTCTTGTGCATACTCCAGGCAGACGCTATTAGAAGACGCTGTGGGTACCTTGCCCATATCCCCTATGCCTATACCCTAGGTTGTCTGCAGACAGTTCCTGTGCGCTCTGCTGACTTCCTGTGTCTCTCAGCCTGATGATGTCCTCTGGCCATGGAAGAGTGCTCAGTACCCCTCAGAGGAGGCAGGAGGCGCCAGAGGAGTGACATCTCAGGAGTGTCCCTTAATCAATGAGGAACAAGAATAGGTGGACAAATACCCCGGCTTCCTTGCCCTTTGATGGGACAATTTTGAAGCTTGTTCTATGTTGTCTTCTGTTTTCCAGCAGGACTGAGCCCCAGCAGCCCACAGCAGTAAACAGCTCATTAGGACAGAGCCCCAGCAGCCCACAGCAGTAAACAGCTCATTAGGACTGAGCCCCAGCAGCCCACAGCAGTAAACAGCTCATTAGGGGATCCTGTATTGCTGTCTTCCCTCCTGGCTCATTTTCCCCACTCCCTCACTGTGCTCCCTGGGATCATTCCCAAATAAATTCCTTGCACCCAAATCATTGTCTCAAGGTCTGCTTTTAGAAGAACTCAAGCTAAGACAATAGCATTTTATGATAATTTCTTATGACACGAATGGATAAATGTGCACATATATTCATTCATTCACACTGTACCTTGTTATCTATGTTTTTCACATCAATGATTCCTTTAAGAAGGGCAGATAGCTCTCTGGGGCCCTAAGTCCTACTCAAACTTTCTCAGGTGCAGCATTTAGTCATTAACACTATCGCCATGAACAGACCCCGAATGCCAGGATGAGGCATGGAAATGCCCCTGGTTTTAAATTTCCAAAGTTGAGATGGAAAGGGTTCTGAGAAAATTAAATACTCATTCCAGCAGGCCTCATCTATCAGCCGGAATCAATGGTGTTGCAGCAGGACCCGGCCTTGAGCACGGCCAGAGACCCCCTGAAGGAGCCACCATTTAAGCTTCCTTTGCCTGGGAGAGTGCAGAGGAATGATCTAAAGGGAGTGAACTTTGTGGCTGGTGGGGAGTTGATATTATTTCCTTTTTCTTTCTTAGAAAATATCCTGGTCTTAAAAAAACAAGTGGCCTTGAATTACCCCAACTTCAGTGGCAAAGGAATGCTCTATATTTCAAGTTTATGGGGAAAATTTGGAGGGCCGGGATAGGAGCTTGTCAGCCATCCAGAGTAACCCTGTGGTTCTCGACCAGGGGTGACTTTGCACACAGGGGACATTGGGCAATGTCTAGAGGTATTTTTGGTGTCACAACTAGAGGGGGGTGCTACTGGCATCTAGTGGGTAGAGGCCAGGGATGCTCTTCAGCACCCTACAATGCATAGGACAGCCTTCACAACAAAGGATTGTCTAGTCCCAAATGTCAATAGTGAGAGACTTTTCTTTAGAAGAATTTTTGCATTCCAGCTTCTATTTTTCCCTCCAGACTTGGAGAGGGAAGGACTCAAATCATGGAGCATGTCCGGATTCCAGCACAATGGAGGATGGTGGAAGTCCTCGGTGTCTGCCTTTGCTTCAGGAGGTAGGATGGTGGTGGCGGAAAGGGGGTTGGACACAGAACCACCAGCATTAAGGGTCTTGTTTCAAGTTGGTCTCAACAGTGGGAAGTTTTAACAGCAACCAAGCTTACTGCAAAAGGAAATTTGATATCATTACCATGAATAAAAAACCAGACTCACTTGCCATCATTAGAAAGTAATCACAATATGAATTCAATGAAAATAATCAAATATTGAATATTGGGGAGCTGTCCAGGCTGGGAATCAGGAAGCCTTGGGAGGGTCCCATTGCCCCTCTGGGCTTCAGTTTGCTCAGCTATGAAATGGGATTTAGCTGGAAGAGTGTTTCTCAAAGAGTGGTGAGGGTAACATATTTTGTGCAAAGGGGATAATTTGTGGTTATGCACAGAGGCAGCATTAAATAACAATGGATTTCTTGGTGAGAAATTGATCCCTTTTTTCAATTTCCTTTCAATCCCTTTAATCTGAACAAGGAGAAAAACCTCAGTTTTGGTGCTCACATGTCTTTAACACCTTTTGAACATTTGCTAACTTCCCCCTTCACGAAAGAAAGTGTCGTCAATAGTGTCAGGGACTTGATCAAGTCACAATACTCAGAATTTAGTAACATTTTATAATTTCACTGTATTTATTTTATGATTACTTTGTATTCATGTATAGGGGTACTAGTTTCCATTTATAGTGGTATTATAGAAGTTTCTTTTTGAAATACCTTTATTTAAGTTCTGTAAGTGAATCAATTTAAAAATATTAAAAAAAAATGGATAGATGGTAGGCAAAAATGGCAAAGATTGTGAAATTGGCAGATATTGTAATACAAGGAAGTCAGGCTGTCCTTCTAGGGATAACCTGAAAATCGCTCTATTTTTTAATTGCAAAGTTAATAATTTGCAAAGGAATTGTAAACATCTGTGCTTTAAATATTATCATAAAATTACACAAGACTCTTGAAGTGAGCCAGATGCTATCTATGAATGCTTCCAGCTATATTAGCCACCTATCACCGGACTCATTTCACAAGCTCTGGGAGAAGTACTCTTCCTAGATCTAACACAGTGCCTGGCACAAGGTAGATACTTACTAGGTGCTTGTTGAAAACAAATGCATGAAACCAAGGAATGGAAAAGGAAGCCTTCAGTTACCAGGAACAGAAAATCCACTTCAACCTGGCTTAACAAAAAGAGACATATTCAGAAATAAGATGGACTGTGGCACGTTTCGGTCCAGAGGTTCATGACCTGGGTTATGATGTTATTTCTCTACAATTTTCTCAGATCTGCCATCCTCTGTGTTCTTGTCCTCAGGAAGCCTTGCCTCGTGGTCGCAAAATTAGCTGCTGCAGACCCAGGTCTCACACACACACACCACAAGTTCAAGGGAAGAGAGTATCTTTTCCCCAATATTCCAAGGAAATGTTTTGAGATTCACTCCATTTTGGATCACATGCCAACCCCAGAATCCATCACCGAGGGCAGTGGGATGGAATGCACTGATTGGCTTCTCCTGGGTCAGATGTCCCATGCCTGCAGCCAGGGATGATGTCATCTGCCCCAGAGCGATGTGGGTCCCCAGATGGGACTTAAGAGCTGTTGGGAAGGAGTGAGGGAGGGAAATAGATGCTGGACAGCATGGACCCATGATGGATGCCCACTCTACCCATGAATGGCAGAAAACACTGATAGTGGCTATGCTGGTTCATGAACTGTCTGTTATTTGCCACAATGAGATAAGAACAGAAATCAAGTGTAAGCATTTAGAAACTTATAGAGCAATTTAACATTTCTACAAAGTCCGAGTGTCTGATAAGTAGACTCATCTTATTGAACAGAGTATAGACCACAAGTATTGGCTTATGAAGGACTGGGAAAAAGAATTAGTCTTTCACGACAGATAATTTGAGAAGTACTGGTTTAGAAGCTCTGCCTTGTGGGTTGACCACTATTAATAGGTTGGAAAGTCTGAGCTGAAATTCCTAAGATTCATGCAATACTACTGGGTGCAGGACACTAGGAAATTTGGGTGTGAACTGGCCTGATGCCAAGATGTTATGAGCATCCTGATTCATCTGGAGCTGTTTCCAGACACCGATAGTAAGTATTGTGGATCACAAGATGCCTAGAACCTACAAGAAGAAAGCATCAAGGAATTGAGAATGATGGGGAGTGAAGTCTGCATTTTCAGGCTTGCTCCTTTTGTGTCTTCTGACAATGTGTTTACGACTTATTCTGGGATGTGGTTGCTATAGTGACAGGAGAGGTAAAGGGGATTTTGCAAAGTGGCACTGCAGATTAAGCTTTACAAAACTTGGTTTAAGTTTCCTTCTGAGAATTTAGCTTTAAACATCTCATCACCTGCTGCCATGGTACCAGAGGCTTTCCTGAGGACAGTATAGCCTCCTAAAGTTCTGCTGGCAGGATTGCCTTTGTCCTCATTCCTCAAGGGACAAGACCTGGTGAGGATAGGTCTTGGTTCTGCTAAAACTAATTATTTCCTTGGGGCTAATATTCCAAATAATGTTCTATGGATTGAGCCCAAAGCCATTGGAGGGGTTGGCCTAGCATTACAGCGGGAGACTGAGAGCTACTCCTGGAACCAGGGGTAACTGGAGGATGAGAGTTTCCACGATCCTGAGTTACAACCAGAGGGATTCCTCCCATGTGCAAAGGCAAGTTGTCAAAGAGGGCTTCCTATTTCCAAACAAAGCTATCTGACGTCATGGATTTACTTTAAAATCCTCCAGAGGGTGGGGTATAGATGAAACAAGCTTAGCCAAATATGATGGGGACATGGGATTCATTATATTTTTCTTCTATGTATTTTCAAAATTTTCATAATAAAAAGTTAGAAAAGAGGCTTCAAAGTTCCAATTTTTCGCTAATATAAACAACACAGGAGTTAAGATTATAATAATAATTGTTGAGAACCAACTATGCACCAGGCCCTGTGGTGCTGAAGTTTGGGTGACCTCCTCCCCGCTAGAAAGATGGGACAGATTCCTATCTTTTGTCTTTCATAAAATCTGCTGGTTGAAAAATTCTGCTCATGAGCAAAAATTCCAATTAGATTTCTAGTTTTTTTGACTTATAAACATGTCAGGAAATATAACAGTTAGCCAACATTTAAGAAAAATCTCTAACATGAAAATATAGGCACCAAAGTTAACCAACAGAAATAAGAAACTTGGAGAAAACAGAGATGACATAGGAGGAGAAAAATAAAGTAAAATAAAAACAAAAGAACACATAATTCCCTTTTTGAGTTAAGATATTACATCCATGAAACAAGAAAAGGGTACTATCAAAAGGAACAAGAAGAGTTAAGAATGAGTTATTGAGACAATTTAAAAGAATATGAGTATTTGTTTTATGATAAATCATTGAGGCTACATATTTGTTTTGTGCACTTTTCAATGTGTATACTATATTTTATAACTTAAAAAGATTAAAAATAGAAGAAAATAAACTATACTGCTAAAAAAGTCAATACGAAGGTTGTGAGGTAAAGTTGAAGAAATCTCCCGAAAAGTAGAACAAAAAATGAAGAGCTGGAAAACAGAAGAGAAGAAGTAAGGATATTGCAGACTTAGTATGAAAGATTCAAAATCTGAAAAAAAAGGAGCTCTAGAAAGAGAAAATATGAAAAAGTGGAGTGAGTGAGCTCATCAAATGAATAGTACAAGACAATATCCAAGAACTACAGGACATGAGATTCCAGATTAAGAGGGTCTATTGAGAGTCTATCATGAAAAGGAAAAAATATCCACACCAAGTCATACCATTGTGATCTTTTAAAACAGAAGTGATAGGGCCGGCCCCGTGGCTTAGCGGTTAAGTGCGTGCGCTCCGCTGCTGGCGGCCCAGGTTCAGATCCCGGGCGCGCACCGACACACCGCTTCTCCGGCCATACTGAGGCTGCGTCCCCCATACAGCAACTAGAAGGACGTGCAGCTATGACATACAACTATCTACTGGGGCTTTGGGGGAAAAATAAATAAATAAAAATTATAAAAAATAAAAAATAAAACAGAAGTGATAAAAAGATCATAAAAGCATCCAGAGAAAAAGAAATTTTTAAAAAGCACAGGGGCCAGCCCCATACGTTTGGTGTGCTTTACTTGGGCAGCCCAGGTTCGGTTCCCAGGCGGGGACCTACACCACTAATCAGCAGCCGAGCTGTGGCAGCGACCCACATACAGAATAGAGGAAGATTGGCACAGATGTTAGCTCAGGGTGAATCTTCCTCAGTAGTAGTAGTAGTAGTAGTAGTAGTAATAATAATAATAATAATAAGAAGAAGAAGAAGAAGAAGAAGAAGAAGCACAGGTCACGTACCAAGGAACAAGAATCTGAATGGCATCAATCTGCTCACAGCGACATTGGAAAATTGAAGTAAATGCATCAATGCCTTCAAAATTCATAGTAAACACTATTCTCAATCTTGAATTGTATGCCTAGGAAAACTATCAATTAAGGAAGAAAGACATTTTGCTTTCATCTGCAAAATAGCCAATATATCCTAAGCACCTTTCTCAAAAAGCTACTAAAAGTTCTGGCAAAACAAGCGAGTAATCGAAAAGAGGGACAAGGGGTCCAGGTACTCAACCCAGGAGAGAAGTAAGTGAGCCCCAGCATAATTACAAAGGCAAATCCCAAGTCAACAGCCGTGTATCACGCCTGAAAAGAAACCAGTTCATTTTGAAGGATGAGAATGGAGACTCCAGGAAAAGAGAAGGAAGAGGGAGCAAGAAGGAGATGGAGAGGAGGAGGAAGAGTGGAAGGAGAAGAAGAGAGAAAGGAAGGAAGGAAAAGAAAGGGAGAGAGAAAACGTAGGGAGGGAGAGAGGAGGGAGGACAGAGAGAGAGGGGAGGGAGAAGGGAAGAAAGGAAGGGAGAAGTGGGAGATTACGTGATGCATTTGAGCATGTGGAAAAATAGTACCAAGGTTTTTGTGTTATAGCTGTAGGTTTTAGGAAGAACTAACGGTAGGTTTTCTGTTGCTAGTTCCTTGGAGTCGATTCCGACTCCCGGCAACCCTCTGTACGGCAGAGCGGAACCCTGCCCTGTCTTTCTGTCCCATCCTCTCATCTTCTGATGCTGTATCAGACAATGCTCCACTGCTCTTCACAGGGTTTTTATGGCCAATTTTTTTGGAAGTGGGTGGCCAGGTCCTCTTCCTAGTCTGTCAGTCTGGAAGTGCTGCTGAAACCTGTCCACCATGGGTGACCCCACTAGTATTTGAAATCCCAGTGACATAGCTTTCAGCATCACAGCAACACGCAGTATGACAACCCACAGATGGGTGGTGTGGTTCCCTGACCCGGGCTGCGGTGGTGAGAGCAGTGAATCTTAACCACTAGACCACCAGGGCTGGCTAATGGTAGGTACATAGCAGATAAAAACAAAAGGCAATTATTATCTCCAGGAAAAATAAAAGGTTAGAAGATAAATAAAAAGAAAGGACATGTAATCATGGTACAATACTTAGCTAAGGAATGAACATTATTTACAAGGTTATAATAATGTTAATACTAAATATAAGTTTAAACAAAAATTGAGATATTATATGGAAGAATGGGATCTCTCTCTCTACATGTATATGTATACGTACACATATAAAGAGAGAGAGAGACTGGGGGGATTCACGATGTAGGAGAATTAAAGTCTTTTCTTCCAAATAGAAATATAGATAATGCTTATAATTGATAACCCAATCAATAGCAGTATTAGTATGTTATTTGAAATTTGGAGATAAATGTCAGAAAAGACAGCCCAAAGCAGTAAGTGTAGTTGCCTTGGTAGAGCAGAACTGGAGAGTGATATTGTATGAGGAAGTGGAGGGGATCCCTGAAATTTTGTTATAAATTTTATACTAAAATTTGGCTTTTAACTGTGCACATGTATTATTTTTGTCAAAATAAAAATTAATTTAATTTTTCAATATCCCCTCCAGCCGCTGTGTGGACCACAGACTGTAGGGAGGGCAAAGGAAGCAGGAAAACCAATATCATCACTTTGAGATTTCACTTTGCCAATAAAAACAAATGATCTCTTACCTTTAGTTTTGGTTGTTGTTGTACTTTGTGGCTTTGTTACTCAACCAGGAGATGGAAATTACAGAATTTATTAATCTGCTTTATTAACAGGCTTGGTATTTTGCCACCGTGGTCAAATCCGGGATCTTGCCATTGTTGCGTTTTCTTCTCTGTTCACACTTCTCTCCCATCCAGCAAAGATGCCTGCAGTGCGAGCAGGAGCAATTGAAATTCCAGTCTCGTCTCTCCTCAGTTCAGTCTGATTTTCAGAAATTGCAGTAAATCAGCGGCACTGAAAATTGGCCTATTTTTTTCCGGGGGTGTTGGTTTGGCTTGATGAGAAAGCAGAAACAAATGGAGTTTATAAATGTAACTAATCAGGAAGTTAAAGAGAGGTTAAACCTAATGGATTAATCAAGTTCCTCTGGGAAGTGGATAGAGAAGGTGGGAGGGAGGGGAGAAGAGAGTGATGGGCAGACTTTCGTCCTGACTGATTTAATAAGCCCTTCACTGGAGTCAGCTCTCTGAGTCTCTGGGGGGTCTCTCTCTCTCTCTCTCTCTCTCTCTCTCTCTGTTCATCCTTTCTTGTTAGAGAATGTAGCCACCCAAGGGTAGCTGTCTGGTGTGCTGTGTGGAAAGAAGTGGGTACCAGCTGCCGGAAGACCTCGGCTCTGATTTCTGACTCTGCCACTTACTAGGTGTGTGACCTCGTTCTTTGAGCTGATGTTATGCTCATCTGTGAAATGGGGTGAGTATTCCCATTTTCTAGCATTATAAGGCTTGTGAAGGTCAATAGGGATAATACAGTGGGAATGTCAGAGGCAGAGGTGGAGATGGAGAGGGGAGATTGGCCAGCATCCATGAGGGCCTTGAGGAGGGAGAAGCACGTCCTGGGCTCAGGGAGCAAAGGGGCCAGAGTGTGGGAGGAACTGGTGGTCAGGGGCTGGAATATGAAAATCAGTGTCAAGGACATTAAGGATTTTCATCTTTATCTCGAGAGCTGTGAGAAGACCTTGCATTGTTTCAAGGATGGCAAGGAAATTTGAGATCATCAGGTTTGCATTTTGAGATGATTCATTCCACATATGCTTTACATCTCAGTGGCTCTCGTCTTTAGTTCTGGCCCCAGCCTTTTTCCTGAGCTTCACACTGGTGTATTCAGCTGTCTACCGGGGAACTCTCATGGTTAGTCCCAGGGACTCAAACCCAGCACGTCCCAAACTGAACTCTTTATCGTCCTCGCCAAATCTGACTCTCCTGCATCCCCCTGCCCCCTCCCTGTGTCTCTTTGTAAACGGAACCTGTGGCAGAAACTGCTAGTTGCCTTCCAATACCCATTCTCTCTTCTTTCTTTTCTTTTTTTGTTTATTGCAGTAACATTGGTTTATAACATTGTATAAATTTCAGGTGTACATCATTATAATCCTATTTCTGCATAGATTACATCATGTTCACCACCCAGATACTAATTACAGCCCATCACCACACACGTGTGCTGAATTATCCCTTTCGCCCTCCTCCCTCCCCCCTTCCCCTCTGGTAATCACCAATCCAATCTCTGTCTGTACGTGTTTGTTTTTTGTTGTTATTACCTACTACTTAATGAGGGAAATCATACGGTATTTGACCTTCTCCCTCTGACTTATTTCACTTTGCATAATACCCTCAATGTCCATCCATGTTGTCACAAATGGCTGGATTTCATCGTTTCTCATGGCTGAGTAGTATTCCATTGTGTATACATACCACATCTTCTTTCTTATGAGCAATCTGCCCAGCAAATCACTACATTGCTACATTTCATAGCTTCCCCCACAGCTAGGTGTAGCCATGTGACTGAGTTCCAGCTGATGAGATATAAGTGGATGCTTTGCTTCCAGGAAAACTCTTTAAGGGGGCTCCATTTTGTACTGTCACTTGTTTTCCTTCTTATATGCTGAAACACAGGTGTGATGGCTGGAACTGTTGCAGCTATTTTGGACCCCGAGGATAGAACTAATGTGACAGGGTGTTGGAACAGATAGAAAGATCCAGGTTCTCTACATATAGAAGAGTTGCCAAACAGCCTTGGACCGTCTACCTCTAGATGTCCTTCATCTGAGAAAAAAGATTCTTCTTTCTAATTTAAGCCACTGTAATTTTGAGTTTCCTCAAAGCTAAACCTAATCCTAAGTGATAGCCAGAATCTTGTGACTCCTTCTCTACATCTAATCTTATTCCAAGTCCCGCCTTCTGGCTAACTCTCCAATCCCTCCCCTTTTGTTATTCTTATCTGAGCCACATCATCTCTTACCAAATGACTCAACAGCTTCCTTACTGACTGCCTGCTTTTAGCCTCTCCCCACTGACACCCATGCCCAAAGAAATTCCACCTTTTAGTTAAGTAATCTTTCTAAAACTCAAAATGACTGTTACTTCTTGGCAACCATGGAATTATGGACACTTAAAATATGGAGCTTGAGGGGCCCTTAGAGGTCATTTAATCTGGATTTCCTCCTTGTTGGTTTGGCTTGATGAAAAAGGAAAAACAAATGGAGATTTCCATGGGCCTTTTGCAATAATATATAAATAATTCCCCCTAAAATGTAGAAGCACACTTCTCTAGAGAAGATACAGAATTTTCAGTAGCTTCTCACAGGTGTTTACCCAAAGTTAAGAATCTTCTCATTTTATAGGTGGGGAAACTGAGGCCCACAGAGGTGAAGTGACATGTCCATGGTCACATAGAGATTCAGTGGCGGAGCTAGAACACAACCTCATGCTCTCTTCTCCCAACAAAGCTTGCCAACTGGCAGTCAATGGAGATGCTGAGGCCTCATATTTCACTCCTTGAGGATTGGGTGTCTGTTTTCACCCAGACTATTCAGACTGGACCACACTGATGAGGGCTGGGGTATAATTTGTACGTGAATACAAGCAGCCTTAACAGACATTAATTGTCTACATTTCTGTTTACAGGAGAATAATACTGTTAGCTCCATTAAGCACCATTATCAATGCATGATCTAATAATTTCAACATAATGAAACTAATATATTTCAGTGGAATGTAAGGAAATATTCCTCATCTGCTGCAAATTGGATTATTCTGGGCTAGGAAGTCCTTGAGGCAGCGATAATAATTGTTCTGATTTTCATCACATCTAATTTGTACAGTGCTTTACAGTTTACATATCATTTTCACATACCTTGTTATCTTGTTTCATTCCTCCAGAAATTTGGAGAGGGAGTAGGCCAGAGAAAACAGAGTGTTTTGGTTACAAGCAACAGAAAATCCAACCTAAATTAGCTTAAGGAAAAAACAAATTGGGAAGGAAGGATAAGAAGATTGTTGGCTTACATAACTGAATTGTGGTATATTCTAATTCATGAATGGTTTGATCCAGGGGTTCATGCTGTCATTATGGCTCTGGCTTTATTTCTGGATGATTCTCTCTGCTGCCTTGTTGGCTTTATCCTCAAGTTAACTCATGGTGGCCTTTTATTCTCACATCCCCATGTCACAGTGACCAAAAAGGAGACAGATGAGCTCTTCGGGCAGGTCTTATCGAGGGCAGAGCACTTGTCTGTCCCAGAAACCTCAGAAAACCTCTTCTCATGTCTCATTGGTGTGAACTGGGTCAGGTGCCCATCCCTCAACCAATCACAATGGATGATGGATATATGCACTTACTGGGTTAAGCCAATCAGGGCTCACCCTAGAGCTGAGGGTAGGATCAACCCCACTGAAAACAACTGAGCTGAAGATGGGGGTTGTGGGGGAGGGTTATCCACAGGAAAATGCGAGTGAGTACTCTTGGCGGGAAAGGGGGAAGTGATCTGGAGAAACAGCCCAAGGTGTCCATTACACAGTGGTTCAGAGAGCTTAAGAGGCACGTCCAAAGTCACACAGACTCTGGCTCATGGAACCAAGATATAAATTTAGGGTTTTTGTCTCACATCTTGTACCATAAACATCAGGCGTCTCTAGGAACCTGAAGAATTTCCCCCCTGCCCTTGATAGTTATCTATCAGCCCTATTCTTTGGAAAACACATGATGATCATTCTGAGCTGGGAACGTCCATGCCCATTCAAAACACAGAGCCCAAACTCAAGATAATAAAGGAAGTGAGGCTGTTGTTGGCATTGTCTTGAGTGCCTAGGAATTCCCTTCAATGTGGTCACAGGAAGTAGCTGGATGGAAGCAAGTTTCAGTTATTTTTGTCATGGCCCCACATCCTTCTAAGTCAAGTTGACTTAACGCTTAAGGTCGGCAAGTCAATTCCTCACGTCACAAATCAAATCACTGTGCCTATCACCTCCCCGGTCACACTGCTTTTTCTAGGATTCTAATTTATTTTAATAAGTATTGTCTACTGCTACAGTGCCTGGAACTGGCCAACCACACATCTAGCCTACCTATGAGGTAGGTAACATTGGTGACTCTAGTTTACAGAGGAGGACACTGTGCCCCAGAGAGCTATAGGATCTCCTCCAAAGTCACTCAACTAGTAAATGTTGATGGCAGGATTTGAATCCGTGTGTGTGTGACTCACATGCCATGCTCTTCACCAGGGGCTGGATACAAGGACACATCTTGGTTTCATTTGGAAGCATGTGGAAGACGGTAGATTGCACGATTCTCTCCTCCCTGGATTTGACATCAGAGCTCCTTTCCCTGCTGCCCATCACTCAGACCCAGGAATAAAAGCCTTGATTGAAAGGCTTGTCTGACAATACGGCTGTAACAGGGCCACCTGCTCAGGACACAGAAAGTACCGACAGGAAACACCTGCCCGGGTGCTTCCGTTGATTGAAATAGACAAATGGAAAAGCTGGCCTTGAGTCCGGGGCGATTCGGAGGTGAGGAGATTATGGTGTGTCAGCCACATTCTGCAGAGCTGGAAACGGCAGCGTCTCAGGGGAGAGAAGCGTATCCCAGGCCAGCCAGGACCCTCTTGGTCACAATAACCATCAATCACTGATAAATATTGTTCCATGAAGAAGCTTGGAGGAGCCCCTGGGGTGTTTCGCCAAATGGGTAGTTGAATTCCCACTGGGAGGGACGAAGGACGGCTTGGCTCACCCCACTTTGGGCGACAGTCTCTAGGTAAATTTAATGTAGAAAGCCAAACCCGTGGGCATTTTTTTCTGTATTTGTGTGTCTACATGCTGCGTGGACTTGTGGACGTGTGTGGTTGTGTGTGTACACTAAATCATATCACTGCTCGTGAAAGACTACTCATTTCTTTCTTCTTTTTTTTTTTTTTTGGGAAGATCAGCCCTGTGCTAACATCTGCCAATCCTCCTCTTTTTTGGCTGAGGAAGACTGGCCCTGGGCTAACATCCATGCCCATCTTCCTCTACTTTATATGGGACACTGCCACAGCATGGCTTGCCAAATGGTGCGTCGGTGCGCGCCTGGGATCCGAACCGGCGAACCCCGGGCCGCCACAGCGGAGCGCACGCACTTAACCGCTTGTGCCACCGGGCCAGCCCCCGAGCCGGCCCCCGACTGCTCATTTTATGTAAGAATTTCTCCCAAGATTCCCCGAAACCCTGACTTTGCCTCAGGGTACTTCAAATAGAATTTGGGTTACAAAATCAATTTGGGTTGATTTACCTACAGACTTTCAGTAATACACATACTGGGTGAACTTTGGCCTTTTTTCCTCCCTCCCTCCCTTTCTTCCTCTCTTTCTGTCTCCCTTCCTTTGTCGCCTCCTTTCTTCCATCCTTTCATGTAACAAACTTTAGTTGAGCACCTATTATGGGCCAACTACTGTGCTGCATGTCAGGTAGTCAGAGATGAGTAGGACACAGTCGGGGTGGAGATGGGTGGGCATCTGTCACTGGTTTTCAGATAGGACTGATCGCCCTCCCCCCGCAGGGGACCCTGGGAAGTGTCTGGAGGCATTTTTGGTCGTCACAACCGGGGAGGGGGTGCTACTGGCATCTGGTGGGTGGAGGCCAGGGAAGCTGTACAACATCCTACAGTGCACAGGACAGTCCCACAGTGAAGAATTATCTGGCCTAAAACATCACTGGTGCTGAGTTGGGAAATCTGATCTATAATATGGTAGGAAGAATTAACTCCACTGCATTCAGTTTGGCTTTGCCTGTGGCTGTTAGATGACTTCAAGAAAGTCCCTCGATCTCTTTAAGTCTCAGTTTTCTATCTGTCAGAGGGGATGAAAATAGTTCCCACTTTGTAAGGAGTGAAGGGAGTTTGGGCATAAATCATGCCATTTAGTACTGGCACATAGAGGGTACCCAAAAAACAGTAGCCCCTTAGCTTCTTTAAGCCCAGGCTTCTCTGGTCTAAAAGCTACCAGAGGGTCCTGGTGAAAGTGAATCCCAAAGATATCATTCATCCCAAGAGGAAGCCCAAAGGGATTGTCATGCTCCTTTCCCTTCCTGGCATCATCGCAACCTGTAGCGATTGGTACATTGATTTGTACATTTAATAGTTTAATGCCCCATCCTCCGGGAGACCATAAACTCCATCAGGGCGGGGACTGTCACATTCCCGGCACCCAGCAGTGTCGGACCAGACGGCATCTGTTCAATGATTGGAGCCAGGCTGCCTGAGCTGAAATCCTGGCTTCTCCACTTGCCTGCTATGTGACCTTGGGCAAGTTATTTAACCTTTCTGTGCCTTATTTTCCTCCTCTATAAAGTAGAGAATAACATTACCACAAAGGGTTGTGATGAGGGTTAAATAAGCTACTATATATGTCTAGGGCCTGGTACCTGGTTAGTGCTTGTAAGGGTTAACTATTATTATTACCATCATTATGTAATGATGGTATTATTACCATCATCGTTATTATTGTAACGAGTGGATGCCGCCCTGTCATGGGATGCCAGCACACGGGGGTGGACCTGCTTCTCCCCTTGGGGAGCATTTGTTTCTGTGCATCATTTGGAGAAAGATCCGAGTTTGCAGAGAAGCCAGCAGCTCATCTAAGCGGAAAAGTAGAAGCCGAAGTGATTCCTTGTGGGAGGTCCGCGGGGCCCCCCTGGGTCACCAAGCAGCTGTTCTCTCTCACCTGGAAGAAATGAGAATTGATTTGCAGCTTGTCCCATCTGAAAAGGTCTGCTGGTCACCAGAACCGGTACATGTTGTCAAGGATGCTTTTGGTCTTTGGTTCAGGGAGGAAGTGACTCACAATAATTCCCTTTTCCAGGGAGCGAGGCAGACCCCGTGGAGACACAGAATGGGGTCCCAGAGGCCTGCTGGACTAGGCTGCTCCCCTGAGCACAGGAAGAGAGGAAAATCACGGGGCTGATAGGAGCTGGTCAACAAGGAGAGAGACCCAGTGGAGACCAAATCGGGGGCAGGAGGGGCTGGAATATGGTGCAAAGGATGAGAGAGGATCCGAGAAGTTTAGAGCCGAGAAGACAGAAAACAATAACAACAATGGCAACAGTAATAATAACTACCATTTTAGGAAACGTGGTCAGGAAAACCTCTCTGAAAAGGTGACATTTGAGCAAAGACCCGAAAAAGGCAAAAAGTGAGCCATGTGCATCCTTTGGAGAAGAACTTAACGGATAGAGAGAAGAGCATGTGCAAAGGCCCTGAGGTGAGAGCAGGTCTGGTATGTCTGGGGAACAGAAAGGAAGCCAGTGCCCAGGAGCATAGTGAATGAGGGGGGAGTGGTGGAGGTGGGGGCCGAAAAGGCACAGGTCACGTGGGCCTCACGGCCATCATAAGGAGCCTGGCTTTTATTCTGAATGAAATGGCCATCCATTGCAGAATCCTGAGCAGGGAAGTAGTTCAGTGTGACTTAGGTGTTAACAATTCCTCCGGCTGCTGTGTTGAGAACGGTCAGTGGGAGGCAGGGGAGGAAGCAGCAGCACCAGTTACGAGGCTCCTGCCAGGCTCCAGGTGAGAGATGACGGCGGCTCAGACAGGTGGTAACCGTGGGGCTTGTGAGCATTGGTGGGATTCTATGTTCAACTTGAGTCCCATCCTGCTTATGCAGGATAGGAAGCCCTCGTCCTGTCACACCTGAGTGTCCTCCAGCTCTCGCCTGTGCCCTGAAGCTGACAGGCGGATGCACTCACCACGTGACCTCAGCCTGTTCTCCTGTTCTGGCTCCACATGTCCACAGCCACTCAGGCTACTTGGAGTGGTGACACGGTCACCACTGTGCTCTTTATGAGAACACCAATGTCCATGCCAGGGAGTCACCTCCTGGTGCTCCCAAAGTTTCTGTCTTGGGGATGCCAGGATGGTACTGCGTGCCATGCAGCGGTAAGGGGACAGGCCACTGGGCCTCACAGATGTTCTGCATGTGCCCCACGTAGCAGAGGCCTTCATGAGTGTTTCCATCAGCTTCTGGCTGTCACCTACCACAGGAGCCCATTCCAGGCCTCAGGTTCAGTGGGGGACCACACACTTGGCCATCTTCTCTCTCCTCCTCCCCAGGTAACCTCATCCTGCTTCCCTGGCTGCAAACAAAACAGATTCCAGATGACAGCCCCGAGAGAGAGAGAGAGAGAGAGAGAGAGAGAGAGAAAGAGAAAGAGAGAGGTATGTGTGTCGGGAGGTGGAGGAAGCAAGAATGTACCAGCTCAGTATTGATGTGTTATTATCCCAATTTTCCAAGTGAATCAATGGAAGCTCTGAAAGGTTAAGTGATTTGCCCAGGCCCATCTCTTTCGCGTTAAAATCCCCTAGTATTCCCTTTTCCTCTGCAACATGAAGGCCCCAGCCCCACAGTGACCATTTTTACCAAATCCAAAATACACGAAATGATTAATAATGGCGCAGAATATTCAAAATTGGAAGATTCGTATTTAAAATCTTGGACGTACTGTGGCTGTATGTGTAGTAGCCATTCAACAAACATTTATTGAGCGCCTAACATATATCAGACCAAGAAACTCACTGTCTATTGTGGGAGACAGACAAGTAAAGAGATCAATTCTATTTCACTTTGGAGAGAATTCTAGACTACTCCTTAAGAGGAAGGGACAGAGGCAGAAAGGGGACATCATCCTTGTCTCATTGGTGTGAGTGTTGAAAGCAAGAGCAGGAAGTCACCGTTGCAGTGTCAGGCAGACCAGGGTTCAAATCCCATGTTCACCAGTGACCAGCTGGGTGACCCATATTCCCTCAAGTCCCTTTAGCACTGGACAGATGGGGCCAGTGTTTGATGGAGAGTAAATACTCCATAAATGACCGCTACTATTGCTGAGTGGGCAATGGAGCTTGAGTAAAGAAACAAACTGGAGAGTTCTCTCCGAGTCCCCTTTGCCTGCAGCATCCGTTTTGGGAGAGAAAAGAAGCTCATAAGTATGTAGACATGGAGTAGTCCTCGGTCCCCAAAGAGTGGACAGCTCCTCAATCCACCTGCTCCCTTAAACCCCGCCAGAGAAAGTTTCTCCAAATGCAGAAATGTAAAACCTTCCATGATTGCTAAAGACTTTCCATTTCACTTTTCCAGTGTCAGTGTCGACAGAAGATGAAGTCTAATACTGTAGATGCTTTTCTAGGTGACAAAGGGATCATGTTTTCCAAAACAAAGAATTGAGATCCATGGTGGTGGGGGGAGAGGGCAGAGGGTCATGTTTTGTTGGTAAGATAGAATATTTGAAATCCTGGAAAACTGAGGGAGTGTTTGGTCATCAGCCGTCTGTCCACTCATGAGAGTGGAGCTGCCTGGAAATTTCGGGATCCTGATCCATTATCTCAACAGACTGTAAACCACGCCTTTGAAAACTTCTTTTCCCCATAGGACCTTGAAAATAATACGAAGCTTTATACAGAGATGGGCAGATTCCTGCTGATACCAACAGCTAATGCTTTATTGAACCCTTGCCATATTCTGGGAACCATGCTAAGTACTTGTAATCATCATCTCAGTAAATCCTCAAAACAAAACCCAAGGCCCGGATGGGAAGTGCTATTATTATTTTGTAATTATTATTATCATTTTATAGAAGATGAAGTTGAGGCAAAGAGAGGGGGCTTTGAACCACTGTGTGCGTGACTCCATGCTGCTATTCTGACCTTGGAGTCACTTAGGTTTGGATTAGAGCCCCAGCCTTCTCTTGCCAGCTCTATGACCTTGAGCAGTTCACTTACACTTTCTGAGCCTTAGTCCCTCATTTGTGAAATATGGATAATAAAACTTCTCATAGAATTGTTGTGAGATGGAAAAAGAAAATATGGAAAGTGCCTGGCATTGTGTCTATCAATAGTGGCCACTCCAAAATTCTAGATCCTTCCCAACTCTTAATAAAAATTTATTGCAAGAGGGAACGGCCCGGTGGCGTAAGCGGTTAAATGCGCGCGCTCCACTGCGGTGGCCTGGGTTCGCCGGTTCCCATCCTGGGCGCGCACCGACGCACTGCTTGTTATCCCATGCTGTGGCGGCGTCCCATACAAAGTAGAGGAAGATGGACACAGATGTTAGCCCAGGGCCAGTCTTCCTCAGCAAAAAAGAGGAGGATTGGCATTGGATGTTAACTCAGGGCTGGTGCTCCTCACACACACACAAAAAAAATTTATTGAAAGAATGAAGATTTCCCCTCCTTCTCAGCATGCAGAGGGTTAACTTAGAACCTCAGGCTGCCAGCATTTCTCTGACCTTGGCACTAATTATGTACAGAAATCATTTTGCCTTACTACGTATAATGAAAACGATCATACAGAAATGGAATTTATCATGCTATGTGTTGAGAGGTTTTTTTTTTGACTACCTCAATTTCCCCCACTTTTCTTCATTTCCCCCTCTCCTTGCTAGATAATCAAATACAAAAGTTATATTAACCTCCCAACCACTTCAATTAAAATGCTCATCCAAAATTTGAAAACAATTAAAAAACCCATTATCTCAGATTTAACGTTCTCTGATTCCGTGTCTATTTTCTGCCACAGCGTAAACGGCAGGTAACATTATCACAGTAGGTGCCTTCTAGAAAGCAATGTCTCATTGTCTGCCAGTCGGTCCCGAGGCTGCTCTCCCAGCACAGGCCTTATTAAAAACTCACAGGCCCTGGTGTACTTTTGTCATGTCCAAA